AAAAAGAGTCTCTGTGGGATGTGGGGGTGGGAGAAGGCCAGGGTCAGATAAAGAATTCTGTTGGAGGTCTATTGAAGATTTAGACTGCCGCCAAGTCACAGGCTGGATTTGAGCTTCAGGGTCCAGTGGAGCTGCAGAAGTAAGGTGTGGGAACCTGGAGACCACAGAAGAGAGGACCAGGTTCAAACAAAGCAACAGGCAGATGATGTGTGGTAGGTCCAGACACATAAAGTGACTGAGGATTGCATGGGACAATTAGAGTAGATGCTGTGAGCAGTGGGGACTGAACTGAGCTGAGGCCCCTGGGATTCAGACAGTGAGTCTGTCTCAGGATTTACACACTTGGTGGTCAGATGACAGGCTGGTGGGGCTACCTCCATTGTACTGTTAGGTGCCTTTCTCTTTATGGGGTCCAGGTGAGGGAGTTGCATCCTTTCCTCAGCCTAGTGCATCCAGTAGACTCTCAGGCCTGGTTTTCTTTGTATGATTTGAATACACCCATTTGCCGCTATACTCCCAATTTACTTCGATTATTTATAGAGTGGTACCCTTTCTACTTTTAGGAACAAGGCATTTATCAGTCTGTGCGTCATGGGTAGTGTGGGGACAGATGATGCTGTTGATGTGTCTACTAAGGTGCAGAGTCATCCTCCATCTTCAAAATGGAGTCAAAGGCTGCATGTAAGATGGAATCTGAGGGCAAAAGGCAGTTTGAAAAAGCCCTGTTTTATACAATATGAAGGAACTTAAGGCAGGGCACAACCTGATCTCAACACTTGTATTTTCAGTAATGGAAACTTACTGATAGAGGCATTCCATTCTGCAAGTTTTGAGAGATCCAAATATAAGTAAAACCAGTTTCCTACATCGCCTCAAAAAGTTTAGCATATACTAAGGAAACAAAACACAAATATTTGTAATTATCCAGATTCAAAGAGGTCCAACATGCTAGAAACGGAAGGGAGCTTAGAGGACGGACATCTACTCAAATCCCTCATGCAGATGTAGGAATTAAAACTTTAAAAAATTTGAGAATATGGAGATTAAAGACTGAAAGATTAATCTATGATCCAAAACATCTTGCTTATTTTGCGGAGGGGGAATTGGGTCCAAGACATTTTGGCTTAGAAAGATGAAGGAAAGACTTTGTTGTTAAAATGTCCTCCAATACATGTTGAATAATATTATGCGGTGAGAACATGGACTTACAAAATGTTCCCTCCTGTACAAATTGTTTGTCAGGGAAGGATAGTGTTCTCCAGGGAAAGGGACAGCCTTTTAAACAGCCACTGCTGACCTCGAGGATAAATACTGCATAAGGGTAATTATACCAGAAAAGTGGCTCTCACAAAATTATGACGACTGTCTGTTCCCTTTGGAGACAGAGTAGGACTCTGTTTTCAGTATCTCCTAGAGGCAAAAAGGACATAGCACCACCCTACTTCTGGTTTAATGTATGTGTTGGGAGGCTGCTGGAATTCTCACCGTAATCATCTTGCTGTATAGCTGGCTAGTATTTCGGATATAGTGAGACCATCCCAGAGGAGGAGTCTATCAAAAGATTAAAAAATTTGAGGCTGGGATGTGGCTCAGTTAATAGAGTTCTTGTCCAGCATGCACAAAGCCACGAGTTCAGTCCCTGGCACCACCTGTACTAGGCTTCATGGCCCGTGCCCTTATTGGCAGCAGGCAAGAATGGGGGGTCTTTTAAAGTGACCCTCAACTATATAATGAGTTCCAAGTCAGCCTGGGATATATGAAACCACTGTCTGAAACAAAAAACAGAGGGAAATGGAGGAAGAAATAAAAAGATTTCAAAAATTAAAAGAATATTCCCATCAGAAGTTTTCTATGAACCAAGTGGAAGGAGTGAGAATCCTTCCAAAACTGCCTTTACCTCCTCAGCTTGAGATAACTTGGCCACCAAACCTCCCTCACTCTACACAAGAAATTTTTTCTTAGAATCCTCACCCATTCAGCTTCTCTCTCCTCTCTCCCAGGTTAAACCTGCTCCTTTACAAACAGCCTGCCTACTCTTTTCATCCTTTGATGTGCTCGCCCTTCATTCTTCCTTTGAAAATAATTATCAACCTTATTGATACTTAAACTACCATTTAATTTCCTTTCTTCCATCATCTTTCATGTCTTGAGAGAATAGTGTCTATGTATCATTTCAGTTTCCTCAATGTCTATTTGCTAGCAAGTTTCCCACCGTTGGAGTTCTAGACCCACAAAGTCTCTGACTTTGTTATCATCACATTAATCTCTCAGTCAGCTAGCTTAGGTAAGACCTGGAAACAAGGTCATCTCTCTCTTCTGTTTACTCCTGGCTTAACCGGGGATTCTTAGCCGTCTTAACTCAGGTCTTCCGTATTCATGATCCAGATTTAAACTTTTCATTCCTCACCCTAACCTCTAGTTTCCAACCAAGACATACTCATCATAGGACCTGTCCTCATTAGGTTTTATTGTCAACTTGACACAACCTAGACTTACCGGGGAAGAGGGAACTTCAGTGGAAGAATTTCCTCCATCAGATTGTGGCCTGTGGTCTATGGGGCACCATTTTAATTGCTAACTGATGTAGGAGGGCCTACTCTGGGAAGCAGATAATCCTGGGGGAGGCAAAATCATTCTGTTTTGAAGATATGATCACTAGTAAGTTTCCCATGCTCCAAAGCATGGCCCTGCACCCATGCATATACGGCAGCACTAAGTAGACTTAGTGGGTTATCAAGTCAAAACAAAACAAACAAAAAGGACGCAGTTGGGAGGGGACATGAGGGGGTGATATGGGAGAAGTTGTGTGCAGTGGGGGCGAATAGGATCATATTTCATTGTATACATGTATGAGATTCTCAAAAATAAACAACTTTTAGAAAGCATGATCTTTAGGTAGAGTGTAGGATCTGTGCTGGCTCGCTTATTTGTTTTTTTAACCTTCAATAATTTCAATTTCACTTCCAAGACCAAAGTGTTCCCTCATTATAGCTGTACCTGCTATTTTATGCTTTCTTGTGATAACAAGATATGCAAAGGTATAAAAATGTTTGTAAAGCACCTGGCACATAGAAAATGTTATGTAATGTGAGCTATCATTATACTGCATAGTTTCACAGTTCTGAATAAGCTCCTTGCTGCCTTAGGATGCAACTATGTGGCAATTCCCGAGTTAGCCAATGAGTCAACAACTGTTCATCACATAGTTCCAGAAATTTTATGTAATTAGTAAAAAATAAATAAATACATAAATAAATAAATTAGGGGCTGAAGAGTTGACTCAACAGTTAACACTTACTGCCCTTGCAGAGGACCTGGGTTCAATTCCCAGCACCCACATCAGGCAGACCACTACCACATGTAACTCCAGTTACAGGGGATCTGACACCCTCTTCTGGCTTCTGTGGGTACCTGTATACATGTGATGCACATGCGTATATGGTGCAGATACATACAGTCAAGCATTCATATATACAAATAAAAATAAATGTATCTGTAAAAAATGAACTAGAAATGAGCCAGAGCAGTTTGCAGACAGGACACTATTCAGGTGAAGACTCATTTACTTCCCCACCCACAGTTAACACCTATCATCTGTGGCATCTAGTTGCAGCACAGAATGCACACTCCTATGGGCTTCTGCAGACTCCTGTTTGGAGCATTCCTTGAATTCCTTCTCCTGTGTTCTCTGTCATCCTTCTTAACCATACCCTTCGCTATCTTGAAGAAATTCTGATCTTTCAGAAGCCACGGCCTATTTCTCTCTTTTGCCATTTTTTCGGTGGGGGGAGTCTTTTTGAGACAGGGTCTCCCTGTAGCCCTGGCTGTTCTGGAACTCACTGTGTAGACCAGGCTGGCCTTGAATGCAGAGATCCCCCTGCCTCTGCCTCCCAAGTGCTTGGATTAAAGGCATGCACCACCATGCCCAGCTCCTTTGCCATTTTTAATCAGATGTATTGATTTATTTTTATTGATGCATATGTGTGTGTGCCTGTGTAAGTTTATGTGCACCATGTGCATGTGGATGCCCATGGAGGACACGACAGAGCACCGGACCTCCTGAAAGTGGAATTACGTGATAGTGGGCTGTCTGATATGCGTCCTGGGAACTGAACCTGGGTCCTCTGCAAGAGCAGCAAGTGATCCTAACCACTGAGCCATCTTTCAGTCCCTAATTCATCCCTTTGTTATTTTAACTCTGTATCTTTTCTACACACTATTGTTTATCTTTTGTTTCCTTTTGAGACAGGATCTTACTCTGTAGCCCTGGCTACCTTGAAACTCATTATGTAGACCAGGCTGGTTTTGAACTCACAAAGATTCGCCTGCCTCTGCCTCTGGAGTACTAGGGTTAAATTCGTGAGCCACCATGTCCAGCCCATTTACTGTTGTCTTGAGGAATTCTTAGAATGCAAAGGAGATTTTGAAAAAATAGTTCACTTCATTTTAAGAGACATCAAATTCATTTAGCATGAGTAGGCTCTCTTGAAGACATACACGATTTTTACTAAATATTTTACTCTATCACACAGTGTAGTTGCGGACTGTGAATACAATGCTAGGCAGCACAGCTCCAGAAAGTTTTCATTTTGCACAAAAGGAACTCTATACCCACTAAGTAGCACCTTCCTTAATTCCAGTCTCTCTGTCAATAATTTGAGACATCTAAAGTGGCTTCAAAATACTCTGTTTTCTTAGAAAGCCCATGTCTTTGCTTTCACTGATTTAGGATTACAAACGTCAAACACAAATGGTCTGTGCACAATTTAAGGCTCAACCTGGCCCTCGCTAAACCAGCAACAGTCTGTTGTGATAAGAGCAGTCAGAAGTCTTGTGTCCCAGCAGCTCCCACAGCTGGGAAAGGATCCCAGCCTCCACCTCACACACAGCTGCTGCTGTGCTCCAGCCTGCGATTTCCTCTAAAGCTCTGGATTGGTCCACAGAACCACAGAGGGCTGGGAGAGAGCCTCTATATATTCCACAGAGGGAAAGGCTGCTCCAGACAGTGTTGACATTTTCAGAGACCCGTTCTGCTGTTGAGAAGTTTCTGTTCAAAGCTGAGAAGCTAAGCCACTTGCCAAAATGTGTAAAGGACTTGCAGCTCTGCCCCACTCATGCCTGGAAAGGTGAGAACCAAGTTACTTTAGTCTAAGAGATGGAGATGTGGTGAGCCTTTACTCAAACGAGGACACCCAGAGGCAACAGAGGCTCTGTAGTGTAGAGCTGATCTGATGTGAAACAGGTGTTTAATGATAGTCTGGGAATTGTATTATCTGTAAACACTATAGGGATTTTGAAAGATCTGAAATCAAACTCTGAGAACATGGGCTAGTTCATGCATCATTTAATTTACAGAACATTGTTTCCTTCAAGAAGATACCTATTCTGTAGTTGCTTGTTCTGAGTGTGTGTGTGTGTGTGTATGTGTGTGTGTGTGTGTGTGTGTGTGTGTGTGTGTTTTAAAATGTAGTTTCCAATATCAAAGCATTAAAGCGCCTGGGGTTGAATTCTGGGCTCCACTACCTATTATTTGTGTGATTGGGTGATTTATTTAACCTCCTAGTTTCTCAGTCTCCATGTCTGAAAAACGGAGACAAGAAGAGTATCCAGCTCACAGGTTGGTTACAAGGGTGGAGTGAATGCTCCTGTATTTGAAATGCTGTAAGCCTAACTCACACAGAACTATATACTCACCTTTACGAGTGTAGGGACTGGGAGAGCTCTGACCACAGGTTTGTAGGAGGCAGAGGGAACTTCTCATTGTTCTTTGTCCTCTGACTTCATTAGATAGAAGTAACTGGATTTCTGGGCAGAAGAACAGCCCTTGGAACACATGGGGTTATCTATTAGCTAGAATTCTCCAATAAAGGGTTCTCCCTGGGCTGCATGATATCCTGGGGGGAATCCTGAGAATCTAAAGTGTATAGAAAAGCAAATATCTAGAAAACTGAACCCTACCTGATATGAATATGTAGAATGTTTCTCAAAGAATGGATTTGATTAAATTTACTTTGATCTGTAATTATTAAAAGAAAGAAAGATGATCCAACCTAATTCTATCTCCAAAGGCACTGACAATGTTTGTCTGAGAAGGTCGTATTGTTCAGTGGACCATCTAGGACTTCTGCGTTTTTAAAATTTCAAGCTTTCTTTGATGATTTCCACCCTAGAAATAAATTCAAAGTGGTTCATAAGGAGGAAACAGTGTAACATAGTAATTGTTTCCAGCTGCTCCTTCTAGTGATTGAAAATGAAGCCATAGGGAGTCTGATTCCCTCAAGTCTAAAGCACAGATGATTTAAATAGATCAACATGAAGGTTAAGTCTTACAGTAGTTATATTGTAACTAGGGGAACAATATTGTCCAGTGGGACCCTAAAGAGGAAGATGGTTCCAGTGTTCATTTTTCTCCACTCTAACTTACTCTATAGAAAGCTCCAGAAATGCACAAAGAGCTGAGAGGCATTCCAATGTCTTCGACTACAGGATGACGCATTTTTGCTTATTTTTCCATTTTTACAACTGTGAGAGTGGCACCTCAACCCTTCACAGCATTGATGGATGCCTTTAGCCAACTAGATACTGCAAATGTTGTACCTCCTCCTGTGGTGGATAATTCTTACCTCATTAAATGGGTCAACAGTTGACTCTGTAGTGACTGTAACAGTTTGCAGAAGTTTGAGGATCCTGTGACACATTGCTTGGCATTGGGTGAACAATCAATAGACTTGAGTGGAAAGTTTTTCATTGTTACTAATCTTGTCCTATGTTTCCCTTATGTACACATACTGTTTACTGAGATATATGAACAGAAACATTTTGCAATTATTTCTATTACTGTTAGGTATTCAAATTCTTTATCGACATTAGTTTATATTTGTATTTATAATTTGTTTATTTATGTTGGGATTCAAACTCCAGGGCCTCATACAGGCAAGGCCAGCAATTACATACTATTCCATATTTTTCCATGATTGGTCACTACTGTAAGGCATATTTCTAATTACAATATAGTGTGAGAGGCAAATTCCAAAGCAACGGAACTGGTAAACTTTCTCCATGGATAGGAATGGGGGCTGACAAAAGTGTATTTACTTGAGTATATGTCTTCAAGCTTCCCTGCACTGGCTGTAAACTGACTCCTACCTCTTCACCTGCACAGGTACCCACCTTTTCATTTCCTCTCTCATAGCAACTAAAGCAACGTGGGTAGTCCTCGATATTGAGATAAAAATATTTTAAAATCCATATAAAATAAATTAGGGATACACATATGCATTACAATACAAATCAGGGACACATTGGACCAGACTTGATGTTGACATAATTATAGAAATATCTATTTGGCTTTAAAAAGGTTTGCTCAATAAAAGTCCAAGTAGGCCTTACATATTTAAAGAGGAAGATAATCCAAACATTTGAGCAGCAAACAACCACCACTATCTGAGTTCTACCCTTTGCCACGCTGGAACATGTACTGTATGAGTGGAAACCTTACGTAGTCAATGAAGAAAGAAAGAGTTGAGTCAATTAGATGTTTTGTTTTCACCAGTGACTTTCACCTTAAACCCAAAGCTTCTTTTGAAATACATTCTTATGTTCAATCTTAAAGAAGCCTAGAGGCATAAAGGCAAGAGCTTCTCCTGGGGTCAGCTTCATGCTTGGCTGAAGTGTGCACGTTTTCAGCTTACTGCAGCTCTTGCGGCTAGTGACATAAAAAAAGGTCAGAGGGCACAGAAAACTTGGCCAGTGTTACTATAATGTATACCAAGCCTCAGGAAGAAATCTTTGAGTTTACAACCATTCTTGGCACAACCTCCTAGATAGCACATCTAACAATGGCTTAGAATATTTAAGAACATAAAGAGAAAAGGTTTACTTTGGTTCCTGGTTTTAGAGGTGCCAACAGACTGGCACTATTATTTTACAAGGCAGCAAAACATGCTAGGAGTGGGTTGTAGCAGAGCAAAACTGCTTACCTTATCACCACAGAACAAAGAGAAAGATGAAGGGGTTGGGGCATCCCACAATCTCTTCTGAGGATTCACCCCAATGACACCTTCCTCTGGATACCTCCCTGGGGTCTAAGTCTTCTTGTTGTTGTTACTCTTTTTTTGTTTTGTTGGGTTTTTTTGCTCTATTTTGTTTTATTTCTGTTTCTGTTTGTTTGTTTGTTACAGGGTCTCACTGTGTAGTCCTGACTAGACTGAAATTCACTATGTAGACGAGGCTAGCCTTGAACTCATAGAGTTCTACCTGCCTCTGTCTCCAGAGTGCTGGAATTAAAGAGGTGTACCACCATTCCCCAAAAGTGAATGTCCTTATCATAGATCTCTGGGGGACATTCAAGATCCAAAGTAAAATAGCTGTTTTGTGGGTGGTTATTCTGAGACCCCCCCCGCCCCGGCTCTCCTATCTGCTCCCTCTCACAAGCGCTTCCACCATAAGGCCATCTGACATGTGGTCCTCAGCCAGGTCCAAGCTGGTACTAGAACCAGGGCTCTAGAGTCCAAAGAACAGAGAGTTATTTTATTTATGGAGGACCTGGCTTTAGGTATTGTGCTATAAGTATCAGAGAACAGATTAATAATGCCTGGAAACTTCTCTAGGGCTCACTCACTCCTGACTTTGAAGACATTCGCTTGTGGGTAAGACTATTTTCCCTCTTCACCTAGAGGAATTCAGTTTCTTAAACAATCAGCATTTGGTACATAGTAGGCCCTGAATAAATATTTTGCTGGAAAAGTGCATGAATAAACGATAGCACCTAGAGACAGGGCTTCCCAGCTCCACTGGTATCTCCTCTACTTTCCACAGGTGTTTGGGAGGACAGACATTAGCAGGATCATGTTAAGTCGCAGTGGGGGAAATCACTGCTTCTAATAATGAGGGATTCTGACTGGGGCAGATGGGGTACAAGGAGAAGGAAGGTGAAAGAAAGTCCCAGAACTTCCATAATCTCTGCAGGAAAGCCTTGATAAACAGGTGAGTCACTTGTTCCTAAGGATGGCGTGCTTCTGGCTCTGAGTGAACTTTAGGAAATTGCACAGCTGGGCTGTTTCTCATGGAGCTACTATCCCAGTTCTTTTAGCAACTTCTACTCCATAGTTTAACTGATTGCTTCTTCCCAATCTCTTTCATTTAGTCTGAGTTACATTGAATCACTGATGTCAATTCAAACTACTTTCAGATCCCAGAAGCTTACATTATGAAGGGCCCTTGAAAGATTATCTAATCTGTTTCTCCTTTCCTAGCAAGAGCTACAGACTACAGTATAGTAGACATGTCTAGGGAAGAAGTTTATTTATGTTTCTCAGGCCAGTGTTAATGGCTTGTCTTGCTGGTGGGAGAGAAAAGGAATGAAACTTTAATTAATTCAGTCAGGATCAATCATTAGTAACAGGAAATAGGACATGGCTGGAGCTAGCAGATAACAGGTTCCTATCTTTTTTTCCTTTAAAGTTTCAGTCAGTTCTCAGATAACATGGGCTCAGGACCAGATTTTAAAGACTGAGTGGAGTTTCAGTAGGATTAAGAGAGAAAGCCTGACCTTTTGTTACTAGCTAAGAAAGTTACTCAAAAGACTACACCCTTAGGAACACAAGGAAAAACCAGGGTAGGGAAGGGTGTGAATTCACAGCCTGTCCAGGCCTCTCTCTGCAGTAGCCCTTGAACAGGAATGTCAAGATGTGGAAGGGATATTGGTCATAACTCTTCCTCCATTGCTTCCTGCCTGCCGGGGGTTGGGGGCCCCTGGACCTCTGATCTTCATTTCCCCCTCTGGAAATGAGAATTTTTATCCTGTTGGAAAGAAGAGTTATGAGAAATAAATGAAATGATATCTACAAGGTGACAAGGTTTCACAAGTAGATCTCTACTAAATTACTTCCTTCCACCCACTCAGCTTTCCCTTTGTAACATAGGTAGTCCTGAAAACATCCTTCTAGTCAGTCAGTTATGTCTCAAGGCTTTCTCTTCATTTTTTAAAAAAAATTATTTATTGACTTTATTTTATGTGTATGAGTGTATTGCCTGCATGTATGTGAGTGCACTCATGTCGTGCAATGCCGTGGAGGTCAGAAGAAGGCGTCAGATTCCCCTGGAACTGGAGTTAAGGATGAGTTGT